TTAAAAGGGCACTGGGTGTTGGAGTTGTATTGCTTCTGTCCTCTTGTTCCACCTATACCACTCTCACTGAACAGCTTCTGCTGTTGTGCGTTTAAAGCTTCGGTATTATGAGCTGTTGAATACTTCTGTCAAAGTACAAAGCCACGCTTAAAAAACAACAAATTCCAGTCAAGCTGATGAAGGCAGGGAAAAATGTAGCACGACTGATTACGCAAAAAGGAATCTTGCACCTTCTCTGCTCCAGCAGGAAAAGAGGTTGACCCAAACAGCTTGCCAATCTTCACTACTGACCTAGACGATGGTTCTGAGCACACCTTCAAAATACAAAACTTGAAGAAGTTAATAGGTTAGATGGTCGTGCTGCCATTCAGAGGGACCTCAACAGGTCCTGGGGGAATTGAGCAAACAAGAACATCATGAGCTTGAGGGAAATGCCAAATCCTGCACTTTGGGAAGGAACAACCACATGTTGGTTAAACAGGTTGGAAAGCAGCTTGGCAGAACAGAACCTGGGGGTCCTGGGGGGCAAGTTGACCATGGGATAGCAGTGAATCCTTGCAGCAAGAGCACCCAGGTTGTGTTAGGCAGACCGTGGCCAGCAGGCTGTCGAGGAAGGTGAGCCTTCCCCTCTGCTCAGCACAAGTGCAACTCCTCCTGAGTGCCATGCCCGGTTCTGGGCCTCCAGTACAGACATGGACACGCTGCAGGGAGCACAGCAACAGCCCACCGAGATTGCTAAGAGGTTGTTTAGCCTTGAGAAGAAAAGGCTCAGTGGGGAATCTTATCTGTGTGTATAAATACCTGATGGGGAAAGAAGGCAGAGCCTGACTACTCTCAGCAGTGAGCAGCAAAAGGACAAGAGGTAACGGGCACAAACTGAAATACAGAAAGATTCCATGCGAACAAAGGTTTTTGGTTTTAATCCATAACAGGGTCATAACAAGGAACAGGTTTGCCCAAAGAAGCTGCAGTATCCACCTTGGAGATATCCAAGGCCACACTGGACATGGTCCCGAGTGACCCATTCCAGCTGAGCCTGCCACATGCAGAGGATGCTGGAGTCACCTCTCCTAAGACCCTTTCCAACCACAGTTACTCTGCAAGTCTGAGAACTCGGGACAGAAACAGCATGTGCTTCGTAATGCTGTTCTGCTATCTGTCCCCCTATTTAGCGATCAGGTAAACCTGGTATTTCCAGGAGAAATTCACATCTGATTAAGTCTGCTGCCAGAATTCCCCTGCCACAGCTGCCAACAAAAGAACCCCATCAGCTGCACTGAGATGATGCTCAAGCATTCTGCGCTTCCACAGCTCTCATTTTGATCTGTCTTTTTCTTGAAGCACAGCTAACCCTAAACTGCTGCCAACGAACAGCCCAGATTAAAAAAAAAAAAAAGACACGTGATCATCTTTTTCTTTCAGGTCTTCCATAGTGCACTTTTGGGGTCTTATTGCACTCCATTTGCTGGTTTGGTTTAACAATTATTCACACTTGTTAAGGATACGGGGGCATTATCTGGTTTCCTGTCATCACTTGGTTATTAGTGTTCCAGCAAAGAACTACGGTAACAGTGTTTGCATTCATTCCTTTTTTAAATTGCCAGCTTTCACGTTATATCCTCTCAGAGGAGGCCAGCACAGCTCTCTAGGAGCAGGCTCCCCCTCCCAATGCCACAGCACTTTGAAGGAAGAATAGCTGGCAACCTCCTTGTCCTTGACAAGGGAGGAGAGACGTGGGGGAAATATTCAAACATTATTTTGTACAGTTAAATAGCTTGCCTGGATTCATCTGAAGAAGTCAATTTACTTCTCCTGAGCTGAACCGCTGAAGAACAGCTGAAGCATTTCCACTTCTGCAGCAACCACAATTTAGCTATGGCAAAGGGATTTCCCTTTGCAGTTTTAAGCACTCTTTCACATGAAAGGCACTCTGGAGAACGTACTGTAAATGCAGAGCTATTACACAACCATCATCTAGCGATGCTGGCATGAGGAAGCTAGAGGGAGGAAACAGGAAAGATATAAATACAAGTCTACAATCTTTCATATTTCACTTACATCAGGGAAAATCACCAGCCTCCAAAGCTCCAAGAAAAATATCTGAGCCACTGTGTTGGTGACCGTAATTAAAAAAAAAAAAAGATCCGTATTCATTTCACGTAACTGAAAATAAAAATTCATAGAGGCTCGGTCCTACAGAAACTTTTAGGCACCTACCTCCTACCGAACAAAATGGAATTTGGGATCAACGTACTTCAGTAGACTTCAGCCTTTAACGCTCATTTCTCCTTGCTGCTTTTTCACCTCCACCACTAAAACGCTTTGATACATGACTCACAGTTAACAACACTTAAGAGGACACGTTCAAGGGATTTCAGCAGACACTATTCTTGAAGATTTCTTTAAAAACAATGAAAAATGCTACTAAAGATTACAGAAACAACCCAGAAGTGGAATGGATGCTGGGAAGAATCAACAAACATCAGCTGTCCTAGGAAATAGAAGAGTTTCAGTGCAAGGGTGTCTCACCCTTCTACTATTTAGCCTCCCAACATTACAAACAACATTCCATTCTCTGATGTATATTTTTGTTAAGATTTTTTTTCGGGGGGAAAGCATGCTTGGGGAAACGTAAGAATTAGTCCAAAATATTAGCCAGCTTTTAAATGGCTGGCACCTTGACAACTCATCTTAAGTCATAACCAAGAAAACAAGAACTCGCTGATCCTCACTGCCAGCAATTTTTTAGGAATGTAACAAGAAAAGCTGTGATAACAACTGGACTACATCTGAAATGTGGCCATGAAATGCTTGTCTTAACTTTAAAGGCCTTCACATTGTTCTGGCCATGGAAGGTGCTAGAGTGGTCTCTAAACCTAATTTAATTTTTTAAGTCTGACAGCGCCAGCTTTAAAGAATATCATCATGACAGAAAGAAGCCTTCGTGCGTGGAAACGGGAATCGAGATTTTGTCGTTGTCCTGCTTCTTGGAACTAAGTAGAAAGCCAGGAGGGTGGAGAACGAGGACATGCACAGGAAGAACATGGCTAAAAAGCCTGCAAAACAAACACTGCAGAAAGCACACAGCACTTACTGTGTGAAAGTGCAGCATGAGCTCAGCATAACAAAGTTTAGTCTGCAAAGCACCTTCTATGCATGGAAAAGAAAGAAGAAAAAAAAAAAAGAAAACACGTTGATACGCCAACCTGGGAGATGCTTAAATAAGCATTTTGCAGCACAGAGCCTTCTCCTAGCTCCCTCCCACAGCCGGAGCTATTAATTGGGTAGACCTCCGGTACAGCCGACACCAGACTTCAAACAAAGGTTTCCATTGATTCCTACGAGCATCTTCCTTCCACTTCAACAGTTCTGGGAGGCGATGACCTTAGCGCTCAGCACCCAGTCCTTCCTTCGCCTCACAATACCTGGGGGGGAGCAGCCAGGGGAACCCACCGGCCCTCGGAGGTTGCTCAGCACCCTTCAGGGCACCCTCCGAGCTCTCAGATCCTCACTCGCTGGGCTCAGCCGCCTCGCCAGGCCTGCAGCACGTCCGTCCCTTTTTGTCTTTCAGCTCATCCCCACCTTCGGGGAGCCAAGGAAGGATCCATCTTCCCCCCCCAATCCCCAATCCCAACCCACCCACAGCAGCACGCCCCCTCCCACCCTCCCTCCCTCCATCCATCCCCATCCCCAGCAGCCTCCCCAACCCAACCGCACCCCCCTTAAACCCCTAAAACGACCCCACAGCGCCCAAATTTTCCCCCCACAGCCCCCAACCGGCGCCCATTTTGTCACTCGGGGGGGGGACGGGGACGGGACAGCGGGGGAGGATGGGGACAAGGAGGGGGGGGGGGCACGGAGGAGGATGGGGACAACGGGGGGGGGACACCGAGGGACCTCCCCCGTCCCCTGGGAGCTGTCGAGGAGGGCTGAATATTCCGGGCACGTCCCTCAGCCCCGCCGCAGGGGGAGGGGACGGGGAGAAGCGGCGGTGGCAGCGAGCTGGAGGCCGAAGGAGGAGGCTGGGGGCGAGGCTGGGGTTGAGGTCGGAGCCTCCCAACCTCTGTGAGGAGATGTGGGGGTTTGAGGGGGGGGGGGGGGCACCTCCGCCTCCTCACCTGCCGCTCACAGCCGGGCGAGCTTCGCCTTCTACCGTGTTAACTAAGGGAAAGGAGGAGGAAATAAAGAAATAAAAGGGGGGGGGGGGGGAAGGCCAGCCACCCACCTTGAGAGTGGGGTACTCCTGCACCTTCAAAGTCATTGAGAGCTGAGCAGCTGATTCCTGCACCGCCATCTTGGAGCAGGCAGCAGCCGCCCCCCCCTCAGCCGCCTCCTCCTCCTCCCGCCCGCCTCCCCCCGCCGCGCGGCGCATGCCGGGTAACAGCGGCCCCCTCCCGCGCGGGAGGGACGAACCAATGCCGTTCCCCCCCCCCCGTCTCCCCCCTCCACCCGCCATGGAGGTGGTACGCTCCACGGGGAGGAGGGGGGGGAGAGAGGAGGCGGGGTGGGGAGAGCCAATGGGGGCGGGGCTCTCAGGGGCCGCGTTGGCGCCGCCTCCCGGGATGTGAAAGCGCGGCTGGTTGGGTGGCGCGGTGGGAGGGGGCGGGGCCCTCGCGGAAACGCGGACAAATCAAATGTCGGAGATGAGGGTTACGGCACTAGGATAGGCGGGGTTTCTCGGGGTGACCGGACAGCTCGCTGCCCAATCGCAACGAGCGGTGCGCACTCGCCGCCCAATCAGAATAAGCCGTGGAGCGGGGTGGGCGGGGCCTAAAAGTAAATTTTCCTGGTGACTTGAAACGGCCGTTTGGACACCCCCATGAGGTGTCCGGGAAGGGGAGGGGCGGGGCGAAGCGGGGCGGAGCCCTTGACGGACGGGCCGTCCGACCAATGGCGTGGACTCCGTCCTTCTGACGGGCAGGCGCCTGAGCGAATGGGGCGGCGCGGTTGAGGCGAGAGGGCGGGGCGGCGGGCGGCGGCGTGTATATGGGAGGGGATGGAGGGAGGGGGCCGCCCCTGGTCCCGCGGGGAGGAGGGAGCGGGTGAGAGGCGGTGAGGCGGCGGAGGTTTAAATAGCGTGAGTCCCCTTCCCCTCGGCTCCCTCTCCCCGCAGGGCTTCTCCCCTTCCCCGAGCTGCTCGAGACCCCACAGAGCCCCCCGAGCGTGCCCGCAGGGTGAAAGGGGCCCGATCCTGTGGGGCGTCCGGGGAGTAAAGCACCATATGAGTATCAGTGGTGGGTGTAAAGGGGGAGTAAAGCACCCCATGAGTACCGGGGGTTGGTGTAAAGGGGTTGTAAAGTACACGGAGTGCCCCTGGTTGGTGTAAAGGGGGAGTAAAGCACCCCCTGAGTGCTGGGGGTTGGTGTAAAGGGGGAGTAAAGCACCCTATGAGTATCAATGGTGGGTGTAAAGGGGGAGTAAAGCACACGGAGTGCCCCTGGTTGGTGTAAAGGGGGAGTAAAGCACCCCCTGAGTACTGGGGGTTGGTGTAAAGGAGGAGTAAAGCACCACCTGAGTCCCCATGCTTGGTGTAAAGGGGGAGTAAAGCACCCTATGAGTATCAGTGGTTGGTGTAAAGGAGGAGTAGAGCACTCCCTGAGTACCTGGGGTTGGTGTAAAGGAGGAGTAATGCCCCTCTGGAGTCCCCGTGGTTGGTGTAATGCGTGGTGTTGTAGGGGAAACGCGTGGCAGTGTGCTCTCAGTGTCCCATGGGGAGCTGCTCACACGAGGAAAAATAATAATAATAATAAAAAAAAGTGAAGTTGCTGGTGGCAAACTGCATGGGAAGCACTAAGTGCTCGCTTCGGCTCTTTGCTGCGCCCAGCAGAGATGTTTCAGGTCGTGTCCTTTTGGGGTTTGGGGTCCTAACGAGCCCCCCGAGCTGGCTGCAGGTGCAGTCACCTGCGGTTCTGCGCTCTCTGAAGTTTCTGGTGATGGGATTTCCAGGCTGCAGGAAGCTAGAGAAGCGAGCACAAGTGTATCTAGGAAGATAAAGCACCTTCTACAATCTGAAAAGCAAGTTGTTTTTAGTACAGGTTGCTTTTCTAGGGTATTGGGTAACGTTGCCTATTACCATAGGCCTGATTGCACCGAGCACATCTATCCCACACAAAGGGCTGGTGGTAAATAAAAGAAAGAGTGTGCAGCCATAGAGCTGGGTGTTAGAGCTCTTCAGTTTTTTCCTGCGAAGTGTTTGTGTTTACTCTCAGCTGGCCTTCAGGCTCACGCTGCCTGTAATCAGCAAACTAATGCCTAAACGTAATTTGCCAAGCCCGCACCAGGTGTGAAGTCTTGGTTGAAAAGGTGTATCAGTAAAAGCGTTTGCCTTACTTACACCTGGGATTAACGTTCATGTCTAGGCACGATCTGGGGGCTGGATTCTGCAAGAGGATTTGTGTAAGGAGGATTTTGCCTCCACGAAGGCTCTGTGCAGGGAATGGTTCACCTGGGCTTGTGGAGGGGAGGACGGGAAACTTCTCTCTGTTGTTGCTGTATTTACAGACTTAATTACGGAGCACTGTGCATTCTTCCTGTTGTTCCTGTCTGCTTTACATATTCTGTAGGCTAATATTTACGGGGGAATCTGCTGTCTGATGCTTCTTGCAGTTGATGTTACTGAACAGCTTGAACTAGCATTGAACTCTTCTAGGGCACATGCAGGGACTGAAGGAGTGTGACTTGAGTGTGACTTTTGTGTGGTTCACTGATTTGTTCATATATTTGTCCAAAAATCTTATTTACACAGGTTTTTGAGAAGTAAAATGTTAGCGGTCCTTTTTGATATTACAGTAACTATTGTGGTGTAACACAGGTATTTTGTGGATATAGGTTATGTGCTCAGACTGTACCTGTCTTAACACCAGGAAAATTATTGGCGATGGTTTGTCAGATGTTAGTAACCAAAGGTACGGGGCTTACTGGAACAGATGGCCAAGCAACCATCATGTCAGAGAAAACAGCATGTATGCCATGTATTCTTAGTTTAACACAAGAGGGAGCATGTCTAATCTTTAACCTTTAAATATTGCAACTTCAGAGAGGAAGCTTTAATTGTTGAGTGTCAGCTAATTTATGTTCTAGGCTCCGTGTGCAAATATTGATACAACCTATTCATATTGCTGGCATGTTTTCAATTTCAGGTTGTAGCTGTTGATTTGTAATAGGAATGCTGGCCTGCTAAATGTGGAGATGAAAACTACACTGATCTTTTGAACTTGTTAAAATCTGTAGGTTTCTGCTGAATTGAGCAAAATATTTATGGTTATTGTTATTCAGGGGTATGGTTATTCATATACGGAGGTTGTACTTTGTTCTTTCATATTAGGTTAATAAATGTCTTTTGCTTAACCTACCTTACGAAGTTATAAAGCCCAAGTTTAATTTAATTTAGTTTAATTACCAATGCAACTTTGCTTTTACAGTTCTTGTAAATTCTACTGGCTCACTCTTAAACAGGAAAGAGAAATTTGGATTTACTAAAGGATTGTGTAAGATAACTTATTTTTTTTCTATGTCCCCTAGTGGTATAAACAGAATCAAAATCAGCTTCCATTTTGTATTTATTGTCATTGTCCAGTTGAATCATGACTTATTAATGTTTGTCCTCGTTTAGTATTTTATTAATGTGTATTAGTGATTAGTCACAATTAAGCAGTGTGTGCAGAATCCTCTAAACTTTAAGGAGAGCCTTATGTGTGTGAAGTTATCTTCAGTGTTTCCAGTTGTGGTTTTTTTTTTCTCCACTTTGCTCCAGGTTAATGGTGAGAGATAGATGTCTACTGCTAAGCATTTTTTTTCAAATTACATGTTTTTTTTCCAAAACTTTAAATATTTAATATGTTATTTGGTAGAGCAAAGTGGAAACCTGAGTGAATACTCCTATGGATCGAGATTTACTCCACTTGCCTGTCTTTCCTTGTTGTGGACATCACAGCCCCTGTAGCAGGGTGGCAGAAAGGAATGTGTGCCTCTATCACTTCTCATCGTAGCACATGAGGGTGGTGTAAGCCAGTGGTAGGAATTTGTGTTGTGCTGGGCTGGGTAGGAGCACGTGTTGCTCCACAGGCATGGAAGAGCTATCTTCCCCTGGTTGGATGGGTGGTGATGGGACTGTCTGTGTTACGTAGAAGTCTTCACTGTATTCTTCTGGTGAGTTATGATATATTGAAGACCTTGCTTTTCATGTCTGTTTTTTTCGTTTGAAGATGGAAGAAATGTGTTGTTTTTTTAAATTGCATCTACTGTACGCAGTATTGTTTATAAGGTGTTAATATCAGGGTAGCTTATCTTCAAAATATACATAGCAGCTAATTTGTGTTAGCAAGGCAGGAATGTGAGGTGACCTATACTAATCTCAGATACCTTTAAATATTTGGGAAGTGTTAAAATTTTTAGGAGATGAATGAGGATTTGGGAAATGTTTGCCTTGAGTATTTTAAGACAAACCCTACTGGGAAAATTGATGCTTTACTGAGTTACTCACAGCAACAAAGCATTTTAAAGGGATTGCTCCGTGTAAATGGATATTGTTTGATTTTATAGAATAGATGTGAAACAGAACTGCGGCATCAGAAATTCACAGAGAACAGGGAGACTCCTTTCGATGAACAAGTGTTGATGTGCTGGGTTTCGTCAGGACCATATGAGCTGCCTGTTGCTTCAGATACTTCTCAGTCACAAGGGGCAAAACTTGGACTTCGGTTTCTTGCCCAGCAGACATAGCATGTTAAACACTTTTACATTAAATGCACATCTTGACTTTAAATGAAATTACTAATATGGCTGTAGAGTTCTTGTTTTGGTATTGTACCTGTTGAGCTTGTAACTGAGAAGTGTGTCTGGGTTGTGTAAACAGGCGGGAGAAGGTGGTTTTATGTCTGTACCTGACAGGAAATTTTACACCCCTATGGTGTAAAACCCCAGCAGACCTCAAATAAACCCATGGCTAGCACACCCCACTCCAGTTGCACCAGTGGGTGATGACTGGGAGAGGTGGTGCTGCTGTGGCACCGCTTGAACACCAACATCAAGCACTAACTGGGGGCGACTGCGGGTAGTTTTCTTGAGTCAGAATGATTATAAGGACACTTGTGAGAGCTACCTGGCTATGGGCTCAGCAGTGGGGTCCCAGGACGGGACCTCATTGCCCTCAGGAGCTGGGGCCGGGCGCTCAGCACAGGCCTGGCCTGGGCCGAGTCAGCGGCGTGAGCAGGCCCTGGGCCGCCCCGGGCCGCGCGGTGCCTGCCTCTCTGAGGCATCACGCAAAGCAGCCTCATTGTTAGTTTGCTTCCACAAATTAATAAAATAAAGGGGGGTCAAAATACACAATACACATCAATTTCTCAAGAATTTTTATTTTAAATAGGGCTCTGTTTGCATTACACCCCCTCACCCTCCCCCCCCCCAGCAGCATGTGGGACGTGCTGCACTGCCAGAGCGCAGCAACTCTCGGACTGGTCTAAATGGGTGGTTTAAAATGAAATCCCATGGGGTGGGGGGGCACCTGTAAGCTTTTTTTATTATTATTTTTTAAGCCGGGAGGGATTTCTTTTCACTTTGAGTCGCAGCCCGCTGAAAAATGGGGGGGCTTAGAAAGAAAGCGCTGACACAGCCCCAACTCCAGAGCGGTGCCCTCGGTGCTGCCGCAGCAAGTGCCCGGGCAGCGCCGCCTGCTCCCCTGGCCTTGTGCTTCGCCTTCCTTCGTCTGGGTGCATTTTTAACTTTGGGAAAGTTTGCTATTATTTAAAGCCCGGAGCGGGTGGGCAGCGCCGAGGAGCGGGGCTGGAGGAGCATGGACTTGTTCATCTCAGCCTGATCTTGTCAGTAGCAGCAGAGCAGAGGGAGAGAGGGAGAGGAACTCCGGCTGGGGCAGCGCTCCAAAGGTTTGTCTGTTATTTTTATACCGAAATTACGCCTTAGTCGCCAAGTATTCGGCGTGCGGAGCGGTGCTGGCGATCTGTGGCTTCGATACGTGTGTGTTTAGCGGCGGGGGTGGTTTGCCAGAGAGAAGATTTGCCTCTGTGTGTGTGTGTGTGCCGGCGAGAGCGAGTGTGTGTTGCGAGCGGGGAAACGCTGAAG